AGTACTTGGTAATCGAAGTAGTCATTACTCATTAGAGTGGAAAAGTACAGTGCGGTACAAAAGTATCAAGGAAAATAAATCAATTTAAAAATTCGGTTGGATCCTTAGGACCCATCGGTAGTAGCTGAGGGTTGCACTATTTCCTTAAAAAGGAACTGCTTTCCCCTCGTGGTGCCTCGCCATACGTAAATCTAATGAAGCGTAGCATCATCTTAAAACGATCACGAGACATTGTTGCACGTATCAGTGGCATAGCATCCACCACACCCTTCTAAATTTTCTTTGTTTATATATATATATATATATATATATCCAACAGAAAATAAATCCAATTATAGGACTTGTGGTGGTCGTACTGAAGCATTTAGAAATCTTTGCACCAATTATAAGCATCACAAACTTTTTTGGTCTTTCGATTTGTTTCACGCAAAATAATGTCGCATATCTCAAGGCTCACAATTGATTTGAATAGCTGCTTGGGTGTAAACAGATTGCTGTGAACATTTTCAATATATGGATTTTCAGTTTCAATCGAGACCATCAGAAGTAATTGTATCGGTACTATTAACACTTTTCCTAAATGTGCCCTCTAAACTGTAAAAATCAGTTGTTCATCACAGAAAATAGGGGGCGCAAATTTATCACGTTTTATTGAAATCACTTGTCAGACAAATGAAGATTCTTCTTTATGTTTCGGAATGTGTTTCGACTCGTGCACTTGCTTACAAGCTCAACTCTTTTATCTGAGTCTTTTTACTAATTCATATCGAAAGCCGGAAGTGAATGATATCCAGTTAGTATTAAAATTCCCATGGATTTTTTTGCAACTGAGCAGTAGAAACCGCATAAGGCGCCTGTTATTATCCTGAGCGTACATGTTCCAATTTTGGAACACTTCATAATTTCGCTATTCATTACCAGAGGGAACTATAAGTTTTAAGACTGATGAAATATATTTCTTCTAAATGTTGGTAGAACACGTGTATGACGAATTTGCAGTCTGTTTTCACTTGAACGGTTTTTGTCACGTGTTTGATTTCAAAATTTACGTGTAGATACGTTAGCGTTACCTCTAGATATTCTTAGTTTCTGTGTTTTGTGAAACATTGTGAATGGGTGAGTATACATTTTCCTTAGAGCTTATATAATACATAAATAAATCGGCAAATGCTTAATCTCCAATTTAATTTACCTAATAGCCCCCATTTTTGATATGTTCCAATAATGGAACTTGGCTGTATTTATGTCACTAATGGATAAAGTTCTTTCTTGCGCCACATTTGGCAGTATTTATGTTACCAATTAATAATATTGTTTCTAGTATCAAATTAAAAATGGACGTGAGAACATTTTATGGAAAAAAATCCAGTTGCTCAGCTAATACTCTAAACAATTTACTTGACAACATAAACGAACAAGTTAAAAAGTAATCGTAAACGATTTACATAAAGCGCATTTCCACTTGCATTCATTTCCCATTTGTAAGATGCAACTTCTTTTAAAATCGTAAAAATCCGGCCACAAATATGAAAGATAGCGTTGCACATGGGCAATCCATTTTTGACGTGCTACTTCAATTTCAGTTTATGAGAAGAATTTCATTTCAATGCTTTTCTAAATAAGAAAGTTGGAACTGCGCATGCGCAAACCTAAATTTTAAAACTAATGTTAGATTTTCCTTTGTTCCAAGCGCCTAAGTATCAAATTTCACTTACATAGTTCCATAGATAAAAAAGTTGGCACTGCGCATGCGCAAAGCCAAATTTTGAAACTGGCGTTTGATTTTCCTTTATCCCAAGTGCTTATGTATCAAATTTCGTTTAAATTCTTCCATAAATAAAAAAGTTGGCACTGCGCATGCGCAAAACCAAATTTTGAAATTGGCGTTTGATTTTCCTTTATTCGAAGTGCTTATGTATCAAATTTCATTTAAATTCATCCATAAATAAAAAAGTTTGCACTGCGCATGCGCAAAACCAAATTTTGAAATTGGCGTTTGATTTTCCTTTATCCCAAGTGCCTATGTATCAAATTTCGTTTAAATCCTTCCATAAATAAAAAAGTTGGCACTGCGCATGCGCAAAACCAAATTTTGAAATTGGCGTTTGATTTTCCTTTATTCGAAGTACTTATGTATCAAATTTCGTTTAAATTCTTCCATAAATAAAAAAGTTGGCACTGCGCATGCGCAAAACCAAATTTTGAAATTGGCGTTTGATTTTCCTTTATTCCAAGTGCCTATGTATCAAAATTCATTCAAATACTTTTATAAGTAAAAAAGTTTGCAATTCGGTTTATAAATGGTCGAGATGCGAAAAGGGCACTGTGAATTTTGAATCGATTCGACTCAACTTTTGGCATTGCGTATTATTATGGCTAAATCTATGCCCATATTGAATTTCATGCAATTCAGTTCATAACTAACGGAAATGTAAAAGCGATCGAACATTTCTAAACAAAGTTATCGTTCACACGGACAGATAGATGGACAGACAGACAAAGGAACAGACGGACAGACCAACAGGCAGACGACAGATAGCAATGCAAAATTATAAACGATCTCTAGGATCATTAATAAACCGCAAAAGTGTAAAATTATGGAACATGTAAAAAACGGTTTTTTGTTTTTTTTACAATAACTTTTTTTGTAAGCGGTACAGAAAAAATTCCTTTCTTGGTACAAGACTCGACACCATAACGAACCAAATAGCGAAAAAAGTAGAACAATAGCTCTTAAGATAAAGAACTAGTAGCGTCGCAAAGCTAGCCGACGGACGGACGGACGGACGAAGTGGCCACAATAGCGCATTTTTTTTTTATTTTTGTGGAAATGCGCTAAAAAGAATTTGATTCCGCCGATATATATATATATATATAACCTTAATACATTTTTGCTCTAAAATAATTTGGGGACGCATTAATCGCATGTTATGAATTTTACATTGAAATCCCTATGGTGCGTTACGCAAGTCACCACCCTGTGTGTATATATATATATATATATATATATATATATATTCATCCACCAGCAGAAGATTCTGATGGAGATTCTGAGTTATCCGATGACTTAAATTTTAATGATTTTTCGGATAAGTTTTCTTCCAAGATTCTAAATGCTCCAGCGGAAGGATCCCTTATTTCCCATAGTGCCACAAAAGAATGTGAGGACGATTTCTCGGAAAGCGATGACGAACCTCTAATAAATTTTGTTCCTTCTAACAAAAATTCAAACCTATCAAGAAGCAAGAGGTACAAACTGGGAAAGAGGTGACTTGTCGCAGCTTGCGTGCGCAGAAGATATTACAATTTCCAATCGAAATGTTCAGCTTGAAAATCCAGTCGATTTTTTTACACTTTTCTGGTCCGACAATTTCTTTGAAAATATAAAACAAGAGACTGTGGCGTATGCCAGACAACAAAACGCAAACACATCATTTGATGTTTCTGTTGAAGAACTGAAGGTATTCTTTGCAATCCTCTTCATTTCCGGATATTCTCAACGACCCAGAAAACATATGTACTGTAGTTTGGATTTAGATCTACGCAATGAAGCAATTGCCAACGCAATGTCACGAAATAGATTTAGAGAAATTTTGAAGCATTTGCATTTTGCAGATAACACTCGGCAACCAAAAAATGATAAGTTTGCAAAAGTGAGGCCACTTATTGAACATTTGAACTCCGAATTTATAAAACACATGCCAATTGGTGATACTATATCCGTATCCGTTGATGACTTTTTTACTGGACTTCCATTGATAAAAACCATGAGTGAATTGGGATATGGTTGCACAGGTACCATTAGACATAACAGAATTGGGAAATGTCCGTTGAATAAAAATGGAATGAAAAAGTCTGTTAGAGGTTCTATAGATTCATATACAAATTCCACAAAAAACATAATCGTTATACAGTGGAAGGACAATTCCATCGTACACTTGGCTTCAAATTGTTATGGAGTTCAGCCTATGAAGTCGGCACGTCGATATTCCGCAGCAGACAAGAAACATATAATGGTACAGGTTCCCTATTCAATTCATGAATACAATACTCATATGGGAGGTACAGGTCTAATGGACAGAAATGTTGCTAACTACCGTCCTAAACTACGTAACAATAAATGGTGGTGGCAGATTTTCATACACCTTCTATCTGCTTCAGTGTCTAATGCCTGGATTTTATACAGACTTCATTGTAATAAGAAACAGACGAATGATGATGACTTTGTGGAAATGGTGCGTCCCTTAGATTTATTAGGATTCATAAGGCGCATTGTGGCGACATATCTATTACTCAACCCTAGGAAACGAAAACTCGACAAGACAAGTTCAGGCCCTATGTTTAGAAAAGTTCCAGAACCTGTCGCAAAGAATATGTCAGTTGTGCATTACCCCAGTTCCTTGAAACAAAATAGATGCAAAATTTGTAAAAAAAAATACAACTTTTGGTCGCGGCATTTGTAAGATTAATCTACACCCACTCGATTGTTTTAAATATTTTCATGATTCACATAAGATGTTAAAATATAGTGTAAGTAAATAAATAATGTTCCACATTCGTCCTGTATGTATTACACATTTCTAACCATGTTCCAATTTTGGAACAATTCTTATTTTTGAAATTGGGCTGCCGAGAAAAGCCGTATATTTTTTTCACTATTTTTCTGTAGCATTAGCACATAAATGAAATTTAAAAAAGCTGTAAAAATTCAAAAATAAGTTTTGGCCGCGAATGGGTTAAGCTATATGCTATTATTTGGTTCAATACGGCATTAGCAAAAAAATAAAGAGAACACCACGAAGGGAGTTTTGCCCCCAACCTTGAATGAGGTTGTGCGCCTTCGATGCAATCTCTTGCGCTGCCGGTATTGGTACCGCCGAAGTGGTGGGCATCTTGGGTACATATCTTGCGTATTTTCGAGCAAAGTTTGCATAATGTTTCCACCGCATTTGCGCCTGTAACAATTGACATCGGCGGGGTCGTCCTCGGACTTTCCGAGCAGCTCTATAGGTGGGAGGCGCGCGAAATTCTGGAGATGACGTTGGCGACTGTTGCCGCTCGGAAAGATGTGGCGTTGGTAATATTCTACAAAGAAAAGTGTGTGTTTTTGAAACATGTACAAATATGGACCATCAAAAAATCTTATCGGCGTTGTGGGCTTACTGGTATGTCGTATAATAATAATAATAATAATTAATGTTTCCAGAAATAATATTTATGGATGAAATCTATAAATTATTGAATATGTTTAACTTGAACAAGTTATTGCTGAGCAACATGCCGTTACAGGTCGACGAAAATACATGGAATGCACGCGCAGAATTAAATCTATTGTGGAAGATTATGAAAACAAGGTAACTAAACAAGCACCAATTTTTATTTTGTCCCGTACAATTGTCTAGTCAAAGTGTGATCTTAGAATCATCTATCTTATTGAGAAAAAAAGCTTGAAAAGAACTTACGATGTCTTCTTTCTGCTTAGATTCCTTCATGCCAAATGGCTGTCAGGGGTTTTAGAACTGTCTGCTTTTTCCCAACGGGCACAAAACTCATTAAATATTATTACTATTCTACTAGTAAATATTGATTCATTTTGTACTGTTCCATTCTCGGTAACATAATTACTTTTTGCAAATCAATATACAATATACGCATATTAATTAATTAACATTTATTGATGGAGTTGATTAATTATTATGTATTATACATTTAACATGCACTACGATGCTGCACCGCATAATAAAATTGCTGGTGTATGCTAAAGTACCGGGCATACATTACGTCACGCAATACTTTGGAAGAAGCTGGTATTTCCTAGATCTGTGATACTTACGTCTTTCTTGCTAAGAGCTCCATGCTCTGGCGCTTGGTTTCTGGGTCGTACTCAAACCCCAAGACTCGTCACCAGTAATGACACGTTCCAGAAAATGGGGGTCATTTTCAATTGAATCCAAAAAGTCAGGGCACCTTTCCTTTCTGATGTTCTTCTGGTCTTGCGAAGAGTTTTTTGGAACCATTTTTGCGCAGATTTTTCTCATCCCCAATTCATTGGTCAAAATTTGATGAACGGTGGTGTGAGTCAAATTTAACTCTTCCCCGATCATTCTGACCGTCAATCGACGATCTGAACGCATAAGATCCCGGATTCTGTCGACATTTTCATCGGTTCTTGCAGATGAAGGGCTTCCGCTTCGTGGTTCATCTTCAATCGACTCTCTTCCTTCTGAAAATGCCTTAAACCTTGCCTTGGTTACTTTCGAAAAACTTACCTGATATATTTAGTTCTTTTCCTATTTCCTCCCACGCCTCCTGCCGCACGCGGTGATCTCTGTAGTCAGGAGACACCATATCAAACAAATATGAGCGCCTTCTGACAGCCTCTATCAATTTTTCTTCCATTTTAGTAACTCGCGACAGCACGAATATCTGAATTTGCAGATGTTCGGTCACGCGTTGTGAATGTAACGTGCCGTAACTTGCATGAGGTAACAATAGTCTGATCAAGCACATTTGCTTCCATGTTCTAGATTTTCGTGACGTGACGTGTGGGAGCATGCTGGAACGTGCCATCACGTGACCTGACATCAGTCTGTTTCCGCCTTTACACGCTGCGTCTAAACCAGGGTTTACGTTATGCTTAGGTATTCAAAAATGTCATCATCCGACTCGGAATCTTGTTTGCGTTTGCGGTCGACATTCCTTAATATCTCGTCTAACTCTTTACTACTGTCCAATTCTGCACTTTGGTTAAGCAATACCGATATGTCGTTTTCCATGTTTTTTTTTTCCGGGGTCGTTTCTGTGCCGATTTCTTTTTTTCCTCAAAGACTGGCTTCTTTTGCGCAAATGGTTAGCTGCCCTTTCCAGTACATTTGCGGTTTCGTCTATAGCGTCTGATATCGGTATCGGTTTCAACTTTCATATACTAGGGTAACTGTGCCAGTAACGGCCACTGCCCCAGTGTTGGACACCATTGATGGAAAAATAATAATAACTTTAATAATATGGGCTAAATTTCTACTTTTGGTAGCTTATATGCTTCATAGTAGTTCATATTTCCTGTAAAATGACTGCGCATGGCGCTAACTTCACGTTGTTTGTGAATATAAAAAATATTTCAATATGTCTGCCACGCAATGTTTATTTTAAGTTGCCAGGTGTTTTGTGCAGTTTCGTGATCAAAAATTAGCTGAGCTGGTGCATTGAGTATAAGAATTTCATTTTCGTGTTAGTATTTCGTGATAAGGTAAGTACAACATTGATTTTTAGTTGTAATTGCACATTCGATGATAGTGTTTTATTAAGTGGTGACCATTATTGGAACATGAAATTCAGTAAATATTTAGTAATGGTCAGAGGGGTGTTCATTACTGAACACAATAAATTTAGTAATGGGCACCCTATTATTACGGTCACTGTCAGAATATTTACTTACTGTTTTTATGTGCAGTGATGGGGAAAGTAAGAAATTTTTTTTCCTACTCCGAGGAAGATATGGCAAAAGCTATTCTAGCCGTAAAGGAAAATGGTTTAACCAAGAAACAAGCTGCTCGCCAATTTAATGTCCCTCGAACAACTCTTATCCGGAAACTTTCTGGAAATGTTCCCACTAAAAGAAAAATGCGTCCTCAAACAGAACTATCCGAAACAAAAGAGCAACATTTAGTTACATGGATTTTGGCTATAGCTAGAAAGGGATTTCACGTACACAAAAGTAACTTAATGCTGTCTGTAAAAAAATATTTAGAGGATAGTGGCAAAGAAACACGTTATTTAAATGAATCCAAACTTCCTGGTCGGTCATGGTGCGTAACTTAACATTTTTCAGGAGTTATCTTAAAGATTGATGCAGAAGGAGCTGAAATACGATCAATGGTTAATGCCGGTGTGGGGTCATGGAAGTGGCCAGTTAAAGAAGACGTTTTATATTATTTTAGAGATGATATCGTTTCATTAATTAAAGAACCGCAATTAAAAAATGGTAGAGGTCATTATAATGTACCCGAAATGGAAAATTATTAATAAATGCAAAAAATACTATAGCTGTCCATTACTAACACAAAGTATGGCCATTGCTTATCCAAGTATGTCCATTAATGGCTCATTGGGTATTTTTTTACTATGTATTATTTAACAAAATCCTGTTCGAGTCAAGCGCATATATAGCGGTCCACAAGAAACTACATAAAAATTCTTTCATTTTGTGCAGTAAGAATGTATGGCCGTATAGTATTAAAATTTATATGCCTTGGTGAATTCGAAATTTCTTCTTTGGTGTCCAGTGTCCGAGTTGTGATTTCATTATTTAATCAAGGTCTCGTATTAACATTATATTTCAGTTACAAAGTATGCACGGCGAACATTTGCCCCCCGGTGGCGCAGAAACAATCGTGATATATCGAGTAATAAGTTGAGAACAACTTTTAACACGAAATATCTGAAGTAGTTAAACAATATTATTCTCCTAATTTCTTCCGTAATGAAAGTTGTTTTCAACTTATTTCTGCGCCACCGAGTCCGAGAGGCAGTCTCTCTCCCTGCATAGGTACTGTACTATACTCAGAATAATTAAGTTAATCATGCATTTGAACAAACAAATTAATTATACCTTTGAATTCCTGCGAAGAAGTCCACTTCACAACCATTTTAAGCACGTTAGCGCGTAATTGCCTTTTCCTTCCCCATACACATTCATCAAGCAATTAAATTTGTTCATGTTAACTTTTTGAAATGCTGACTGGTCCATTGCGGGATGCTTAAAATATTTACAAAAAAATTATATTAATGTTTAGTGCGCGTTGCTCTATAATAAACTTCTGATCTAGGAGATCTAGGTTTTAAGTAAAGTGGTACTGCGTTTTGAATTGCCCTAAAAATGTGTACTAATTGTCGCCAATCTGCATTTCCGAGTACATTTCTTTATGACGGAACATTCATTACCGAACAGTTTGTACCAATAGTTTTTGGTGGATTGCTCTATTGACCAATTAAAAAATGTTGTATTGAAGTCGTATTTAAAAAAAGTAACATTGTTTTGCGATTCCATGATAAATCGTGGGTAAAGCCCTTAATATACTTACTTACAGAAAATAAGTTCGTAGGTTGGCTTAATCTACACTTTATCGTTGAAAATGCTAGACAGTTAATACTAAAAGAAGCAACGAGGCGAGGTTTTGTTAATTACTTACGTAGAAGTTATATTTCTTCTGTAATATCAAAAGCCCTGCTCACAAGTACGACACGTAAAATGCACTTCTTTCGCATTCTCAAAGTAATTTGTATATCATATATTCAACAAAAGCTTCATCGGCAGAATTTGAAATTGCTGAAGGAGTGTCAGCCACTTTCTTTTTTTAGACACACTTCTAGGAGTATAATGGTTTTGTCTGTATCTGCCATAGCCGTTTCCGTACCGTCAAGTGGCAAATTAGATGCAATTGTAACCTGTCTTTGGCCCTCTTGTGTGTCGGTTTCTTGAACTTCTGTCTGCTCTTCCACCTCAGTATTTGCGCCCTCCGAATTCTCACTATTACTATTTTCGACCAGTGTTTCCAGTAGTACTTTTGCTTTTAATGTATGGAAGAAGAAACTCTAGGTAGTGGTCTAAGTAATATTTTTTTTTCGTATTTGTCCCAGAGCCACTTGGTGGTTTCTTCAGTGATCGCAGAAAAGCTTCACGGATATTCCTCCAGCGCTCGCGGCAGTTGGACACTAAATAAAAAAATATATCTAAGTATAATGTTGTTAACAGGAAATTTTAGTTCAATTTAGTAGTAGTAAATCACAGCAATCTAATTTGAAATTAAGAGCGTTATTTTTTTTATTATTTTTTAGGTATCTAGTAACAGGTGACAGTTTCAAAAGCCTTGACTTCCAATTTTATCGAGGAGATAATACCATCGGACAAATAGTAAAAGAAACAACTGAAACAATATGGAATGGTTTGCAACCTTAATTTATGCCAACCCCTACCAAAGAAATATGGAAACGTAATGCTCTACCAGGAATTTTGGAATTTGCCGAACTGCGTCGGTGCAATCGATGGTAAACATATCCGTGTAAAGAAGTTCGCTAATACTGGCTCAAGTAATTTTAATTATAAAGGAATTTTTTTCAATGATCTTAATGGCCACTGCTGATGCCGATGGTTTATTTACAACATATTGGAAGATTTTTACAAAAAGATAAAATTCCTGAACCTTCGCACTTGCCAGAAGATGAAGATGGACAGCCCTTTCCTTTTTATTTATGTGGAGATGAAGCTTTTTCCATGGCTCCCATATTTAATGACACCCTATCCTCAAAGAATTTTGAACCCTACAAGACGAATTTTCAACTTTAGGCTGTCGCGAGGAAGAAAGAGTGTCGAGTGTGCTTTTGGAATGTTAGTGTCAAAATTCCGTATATTCGAGGGACCACTTTGTTGTGACGAAGAATCTGTTAAAAAAATTATAAAATCTTGTGTATTACACAATTTTATTCGAATACGAGAAGGAAAATTCTCCAGTCCAACACATTTCGATGACACAAAGCTACAGAATATACATATTGATGAAAATAATGACGGGTACCGCGAAACGACATTACCAATGAGATTTCGTAAATATTCAGCTGACTATTTTGTAAAGCCGCAAGGAGCAATACCATTTCAGTGGAAATATGTATAAATATATACATATCTAACTCCGATTCCGAGTTTTTAAAAATAAAAAATGTCTAAACTTACCTGTATCTTTTATATCCTTCGCTACCTCCGCCCATGCTTTTGCGGTTATGTTTCTTTTGCTATATGCTGACAAATTATAGTTCCATAAACAAGGACGATTTTCAACTGCACGGACAAAATTAATATTTAAAATTGGATCATCCGCCGACGACATTTCGGTCTCGATAATTAATAAACTCGTATAATAAAATTAATTTTGCACAATATTAATTTGATTACCTCCTTGAACATGCGACAACTACTGCCACAAGACACGCATAGAATGTTGCATGCAGTATTGGTAGCGAGATAGATACCGCTGCCGCATCGGTGTACGAGGGGGTCGGGTACAAGTCGCCGCCGCCGTCTCGCCGCGGCCAATTCGCCGCGGCCATCCGGCCGCGAACCCAATTGGCCGCGGAACCAACTTGCCGCGGACCTTCTCGCCGCAGATCATCCCTCCGCAGACGATATTATCTGACCAAATAAACGAAAAGTATTTACATATTTCAATTATTTTTTAAGGTTTTATTTGTCCTCACTGCTGAAAGAAATTAGGTACCTATATAGGAAGCTTTCTCTAGTCCATCATTGTTCTCCTTAGCTTGATGTTATTTGCATTCCTTTATCTAAATGAATAATTAATTAGGTACATGCAGGTAAGTGGTCTATACACAAATTCTTTTGTTGTTGTTATGAATGCTAGTTTTAATCCTAATTACCTACACATTATTATACTCTATACAAAATGCAAGGGCGGTATTTGGAAAATGTCTTTTGTTTATTATTTAATTTGTTCTAAACCTGACCAACTAGTTGCAAACTGATACAACTTTGCAATCTATTGGATATAATACAAAATCCTACCTACCTTCTTTGTATTCATTCTTAGAAAATCAAGTAGTTGTTAGTTAATGGGGTGCTGCCCATTTCCTGAACTGACTTTAATCCCTTAAAAGTACCGCTTGAGTTATGTAACATCTGGGTTGCCACATTCCGACGTATGTTTAAACGTAAGGGTGTGTTTGTAAATATGCATCACTTTATTGTTGGCATTGGCACTGAGCGTAACTTAAATAAACGGCATTAAGTATACTCTGCATTTTATTATTAATCCAATACAATCTTTACGCGTGTGGTTTCACTCTACTCGAAACTTTAGTTAGGCAGTGCTTAATCGACAATGGAAAATGAAATACTCTCACAGCGTTCTCAAGCAAAGTTTTGTAGTGAAGGTTTTGTGTACGTTTTTGATAGGATGTCAAGTGATG